AAAGATACATTTGTGTTGGTGCTGATGATTCTTGACTAATCCTGTTTCAGTTATAAATTGGTTATGTTTTTCCAAAAAAACTTCCAGCACTTATATTCAGGACTTATAAATCTCTCTCTCTCTCTCTGTCTCTCTCCCTCCCTCCCTCTCATGCACACACACAACCCAAAACACATACATTAAGGCCAATCCCTACTAATACTATTTAATATTCCATACTGCTAATCAAATATTTTAAGTCTAGAAGATGACAAAACTTGAAGACTAAATAAAGGGCAACACACATCTGCATGCTGTTCACATCACACACTTGAGTAATCGCAGTGGCAAGACATAGTTAATAGTCCTAATAACTTCCAAAATTCTTATTTCCTCATCATTTTGGGGTACTATGATGGGTAACTTATATCATTTAAATATTAGCTACAGAGAGAATATATTACAAGGACAATGGTTTTTCAGGGATTTATTTTAAAAAGTTATTTGTGTTAATTTAGTAATAATCCTAGAAAAGCATATCCATGTAGTTTCCTTCAATTGCAGAATAATGATCTGACTATACAAACAACCACCTAGCAGAACTCCTCACATCAAAAAGATAAATTCCCATCTAGAATGTATCAAAGACTGGTATATCAAAATATGATCATCCGTGGGCGCCTGGGTGGCTCAGTTGGTCAAGCGACTGCCTTCAGCTCAGGTCACAATCCCGGAGTCCTGGGATCGAGTCCCACATTGGACTCCGGCTTAGCGGGGAGCCTGCTTCTCCCTCTGACCCTATCCCCTCTCATGCTGTTTCTCTCTCTCTGTCAAATAAATAAATAAAATCTTTAAAAAAAAAAAAAAAAAAAAGATCATCCGTAAGAGCTAAAAGGCATAGAATTTGTTAGTTTCCTTAAATCCACAGATTCCACATGTGGCACAAGTACATAAAATGGGGTAGTTAGTAGCCTTGCCTCAAAGAACTAACTTTTTAAAGACAGAAATTTACTCTCGCTGCAACTACAAGCTTTTAGTAAGGGGTAACTGGGTCAGTTTGTACATAATTACTACCAAGGTTATTTTTTAAAAACTGCTTCGGGAATAATTTGTATAGTCTCCACATATTTTATTATATAGCTCTTCTCTGTTCTATTCTTTTAAATCCTTAAGCTACATAAAAGGCAAGATTATGTTAGAGAGTATAGTTTTTATTAAAAATGTTTTTCTCTGTTGACCTTTAAAAATAAATTTAGAGAGAAAACAATATACCAGCTAATAGGAAATATTCTAGCTGATATAATAGTCACTAACAATACTCAAGGAAGGGCACCTGGGTGGCTCAGTTGGTTAAGCGACTGCCTTCGGCTCAGGTCATGATCCTGGAGTCCCTGGATCGAGTCCCGCATCGGGCTCCCTGCTGGGCAGGGAGTCTGCTTCTCCCTCTGACCCTCCCGACCCTCCCCCCTCTCATGTGCGCTCTCTCTCAAATAAATAAATAAATAAAATCTTAAAAAAAAAAAACTCAAGGAAAATAATACGGGAGGGAAAGAGACAAACTTAACTGCTCTCCTTTAACTGCAATGAAAATGAAGCACGTTTCTGAAAAAACAAAAAGCAAACACCGCCACTATTCTAAGACAGATGCAAAGAATGCTGTAAGTGAATTAATTCTTCTGAATACAGTGAATCAACTTGCTATCTCTGTACAACAGAAGAACTGTAGGAATAAGTGTACAGGTACCGCCACTGAAATGGGAGTGGAAAAAGGTTCATGCTTGGCTTTGCCGGCTCCTAGCTTTATTAATTTTGACAACACATAGGGAGATCTTGGCATTCAAAAAGTTAACATTAATATTCACTCCAGAATGGTTAAAATTTCGAAGTCCATAAAATGTAGTATTATGTAATTCTCCTGAAATGGGAATTTGAATCATGCCTCTGTCAGGCAGACTATGGAAATAAATCAATCACTTAGTGAACGAGTAAGCAATGAGTTCATAAACAGAGTAACTGAAAATATTAAAGAATTTTTGATATATTAAAAAAAAAGTGATGCTGCACAGTGATTTTCCTAACCTCAGAAGAGAAAACTAATAAGCCCTTAAGCCCCAGAAACATCTATTTATGTTAGCCACGGACTTACTTTTGGAGGCTTTTGCTTAACTTTCATTCCTTACTCTATCACACTAATAAGCTCTGGATTTATTATATTTCTAACCCTGCAGAATAGTGCAGAATGTGAACTGAACTTTATGATTTATTCAAAGGTAAATACACTTTTTCATACTTCAGTTTACCTATTCAATTATTATGATGATCTTTATAAAATACAAAGCACATCATAAATTATTCATTTCAAGAAAGTAAATAGGCCTTCTAGTCTCATATGTCCAAACAGCATGGGCTTCCTCAATGAAATAAGTTTTCTCTTTTGGTGCCCACAAATTTAACCTAATAATTCTACTGAACTTTAAGCGTTTTTATTAAAGACAGAGAGAGAGCAAGAGTATTCTGGGCTCCAAATCTAAACCCTAAGCTGACACAGTACAGGTTAACTCCTGTGCAGGTACAAGGACCTCAAATATTCATGTATCAGAACCAGCGAATGGGAGAAACTATATAGTTACAAGTTGGGTACAGTTCATGTCAGCTTAATAAACCCAGGAGCATAGGGAGCTGATAAGACAGAGGTGATAACATCTCTTCTCTTAACTGAAGCTTGTTCTCTATGTTGTTAAAAGTGTCCAATCTACTTTTTTAGAAAACAGAATAACCTATTTTAATGGCCTATTTTCCAGGTGTGCTTTAGAATGCCAAATAACGTATTTTTAAAACATGCGACTTAATGCTTATTACTTAATTTTGCCACTCAAAAATTAATATTCAGTGGTAAGCAGGCAACTGCTATTTGTTTGTGCTCTAAGATGACACCACTTAACTCAATTTTGTTCCCTGGTGGTACTACCAACAACTTTCTTTATGATGCATTCATTCTTCTCACCCAAAATAGCCTCTTAGAGGAAAATGTGAGAATTCAAGACATGAGAGCATATTTCAGCGTTAGTAGTTTATCCACTCTCCCAAAATATTCCATGATGTTGGTCAAAGAAAAGTAATATTGTAAACTCGTTAAGAAGATAAAGTTAGAAATCTAGAGCTGCTCAGTAAATCTTGATAAAAGCTGAAAAAAATAAAACAGGAAAAAGATTATGGCGGGGACAGTTATTAGAAAGAATGAGTAAGTACAAAAAAATGGAGAAGTCAAACACAGGGAAAGAGGCTAATATGGAGGTTAGAAGTCAAAGCGTAGTGTTCTACAACAGCTTACAACTGTTTATATAGTATCTAGACATTTAAGTATACCTCACTTTAGAACACCTACAAAGAAGTGTTTCAAAGAAACCGAGTATTTTCAAAGTACCAGGAAAGCTTTAAAATCAACCAAGCACAACCAACTAAAACCAAAAGCAAACCCTTCTCTGAAGCTTTTCAAAAAGTGAAGTATTTTTTGTAATACAAATCAATTCCTAATTTAACTGCTTTATAATTTCAGATTTTATATAACAGGCTTTCATAAAATACGATGCACACATGTAAAATCTCATCACTAAAGAGAGTAATTTAAAATTAACTATTATATGTGAAAATAATAACCCTCCAGTTAAAGTGTCCCATTATCATGAAAGGCTGGTTAGAAAATAATTCATAAATCTTTACAGAGGACATCAAACATAGGTCTAGAGGAGTTGATTATCAAAATAGCTTAGGTGGACACACAAATACCAGTACTAATTCTGTACTACAAAATCCTTCAAGAGTCCCATTACAACTCCATCTGTTACAGAGGATAGATGGAAATTGTCTACTGTATCTCAAAGAACAGGAAAAACTGTAACAAAACAAAATACACTTTAAAAAAAGAACAGAGTAAATCATGTTAGAATTTAGTGTTAAAAGTAGTTTGGGGTTGAAACTTTTCTGAGCAGGGGCAAAGACAGATATGACACAGTTAAAACACACTAATGCAAATTACATATATATATATATATATGTGTGTGTGTGTGTATATATATATATATTTATATTTATCCCTGTAACTGAATGGCAGGGGTCTGAGGCACCTTGATACTATTCCAAAAAACAAAACAGTACACAGTATGATAGCAGCTGCTGCCAGAATGGGCTTTTCTGTCCTCCTCACCCCACCCCAGGAAGACAACTTCACTGAAGTGATCTTTGATTAGTTCACTATCCCAATTTTAGCGATTATTCAGCCTATTAAAAAAATATGTAATGTGACAAAAAGCAGAATAAAAAATTGGGCCAAAGAAAAAGAATTTTACATCTGTCAGGAACTTCATTTTGAGTGGGAAAATCTACTCTATCATTAATTTGAAATGGTTTGAACTAAAAATATGAACTGTAAAAACAATGAACTGATTACAATTTCATAGTTTACAAATCAGTACAAAGCTATACATTATAAAAATTGACTATAACAACACATAGCAACATTTTGATAAACTATATCACTTCATACTATTACTGATGATTAGGCTCTTCTAAATTTGCCCATGTACATACATTAATTGAAACATTTAATCAAGCATTTGATAGCTTAAAAGTTAAGCCAAAGAAACAAGTTTGTTATTAATTTATCCTTATTTCAGTTTATTATAAATGGATACAAACAATATGGAAATTTACATTTCATCTTAAAAATGAAGCATTTTTACAAAAACAGTATTTAAACAGAGTAATCCCAAGACCCTGAATATCTGGCCAGGAGTCACTTCTCCACTATAGGGACATGGTATTATCAGCATCTCAATGTTTGTACGCTGCCACAAGGTAAAGGAATGTTATTTTAATATATTCAACTTAAAAATACCCGTCTTTTTTTGTCTAAACTCTGGGTACTTTCTCTCTTAAGATGACCTCTCCAATAAGAGACTTATAATACAATCTCTCCACAACCTCTGGTAACAAACTAAAAATTGAGCATATGCTTCACATACCTTTTTGAGATGTCCTAGTCTAAGTTTGAAAATTTCTTCCTGTTCATGATATTCTGCCAAAGTCAACCTGTCAAAAATGAGATGTAATTCTAGATATTAAGATTAATAGTTATTATTTCTTATTAACAACCAGCAAAAGAAGATAAATAAGTGGAAATACTACAATGCTGACAACATTTATCCCAAAATAAGCCAAAAGTCCTTTACAATGTTTTTCAGAATATACCTAATACTTACAGGTGGAACAACTAATTCATAAATTCAGCAACTATTTAATGAGTGCTATGTATCAAGTGATGTTCCAGAATTTCAATACTCAGGGTACAATGAAAAAGACATTTTCTCCTTTCATTTTAGTTCGAACTTATACTCTATAATCCCCACTGAGGCAGAAAACAAACAATTTAATAAAGAAGTAAAATAATCCCAAATAACAGTAAGTGTTATGAAGAAAACGAAAATGGGTGGCATGATAATGACATTGTATTACAGTAATTTGTACCAAGTGTTAGGGAGGTGGTTTTGATCTAAACATCAAAAAGACAACTACAAGAGAACCTGGGCGAGTTATGTTCTAGACACAAGCTACAGCAAGTGCAAGGATGCTACGAAGGACTCAGGCTGGCATACTGTAAGAAGAGAAAAAAATGTCAGCATCAAAACAGCCAGAGAGGCTGTGAGTAGTAGGAGAGGCAAGCAGGGGCCAGCTTATGTATGGACTTCCAGACCAAGGAATGAATTCATTTTACTCTAAGAGTACTAGAAAAGTACTGCAAAGAGAGTCCATCCAGTTGGGTACTGGTTTAAAAAAAAGGAAAAATACTAGGAAGTTTTTTTTCTTCTTCCATGTGTTAGTGAGGAAAAGGAATGCTAAACTATCGTCAACACACCAAATTCTTAATAAATACAAACAGACGTAAGACTTTCAATCTTGAAAGTACTTTACGGTTATTTTATTATTCTCAAATATTCATATATAACTTTGAAATGTAACTAGCTTAATATATGTTGAACCATAATAAGACATAAACACTTAATAACATTTCCTGAGAAAAATTATTGTTTTCTGATAAAAGAAGAAAACCACTCTACAATAAAACAACTTCCATTTCATACCCCAATACTGAAAGAACTGCTTTTATCAAGCCTGTTTGTTTACTCATGTGTTCTAGGGGTATTTGGAAAAGCTCCTAACCAGGTAAGATATATTTATGTTTATTCAGGTCTCTCAGCAACATTTAGTATAAATGTTATTCTCCTTTAGCTAGATATTAGTTAAATTTACTAATTCTAAAGAAAGGGTATTAAAAGGAAATAAAAACCTCCAATAAATTTAGTTAGTATTCCACTAGAAACATCTTAAGAGTGAAACATTTAAAATTAAACCTGTCTACTCAGTCTTTTTTTTTTTTTTTAAAGATTTTATTTATTTATTTGAGAGAGAGAATGAGATAGAGAGAGCATGAGAGGGCGGAGGGTCAGAGGGAGAAGCAGACTCCCCGCTGAGCAGGGAGCCCGATGTGGGACTCGATCCCGGGACTCCAGGATCATGACCGGAGCCGAAGGCAGTTGCTTAACCAACTGAGCCACCCAGGCGCCCCCCGTCTACGCAGTCTTAATACAACTGCTGGATTTTATTATACTAAATATAGCAACAGTGGATAGTTGCAGCAGATGCTTCAAGTAAACTTAGAGAAGTGTTACAGTGTGACTGTAGATGGAGTGAAAGGAAAAGGGAAAGGTGATCTTAAAAGGTCTGGAAACTAAAACGGATAAAATCTCAACTAATTCAATAAACAAAAGCTATAGGAATTTTTGGCAATAGCTTCTGGATAGGCATATATACCACCAATGAAAATTTGGTGCAATTTGAGTTTTCTAAAATTTTTGAAATTGCATTCTACTAAGAAGTCTGGCTCTCATGCAAACTTGCAAAGCCCTTACATATGCAGATGGCTGGGAATTTCTGCAATTTGGAGGTAAGCATATTTTGCTGTGTTTAGTTGGTGCAGTTTTCAATAGCAACTATTCCTGTCAATTAAAAATGAATTAATATCTATTCCATGATGATTTAGTTTGTTGAATATTGTTTGGTTAATCTTATAGCATAATATAATGCATATTTGCTATTTAATAGCACTTAGTTCCAGTTGTTAATACGTTTTAAGTTATGGTTCAAATCATCCACATCCCTATAGCTAAAGCAAATGCATAGATACTCCCTCCCCAAATTTTCTTAGTAGAGTGATACTTCTTTATTGATTTAAAAAAACTTTAAACCCCCCCCCCAAAAGGCAAAACTTTAACCACAGAGAATTATTTCATAGATCTACTACTCCTGATATTAAACACATGCAATTCTCACTAAAAACTAATGGTAACTTTCAGCAGCAGCAGAACTATACTTCCTGCATTTTGATTACTACCACTATAACTACTATTAAGCTTTAAATAAATAGTAAAAAATAAATACTGATCACTTTCTCTCTGCTTGGTTTTGAAGCATTAATAAGCAAATTCTGCAGGAAGTACTAAATACTACAATACTCAATTTCTAGGGCAGTGATTATTACTATTTTATGATCCTGGGTATCTAAAAGTAATCTAAAGGAATTTATAATAAACATTCTCTCCGGAAAATTTCACATATACATAACTTTGGGGGTTCACAGCTCTCCGTTTAAGAATTCCTATTCCAGGTTCTTGTCTCACCAATTGAATGCAAACCTCAAAACAGCAAAAGAGACATTTCTTACATTTCTCTGCATTTCCCTATCAGGAAGCATCTGACATATATTAGAGATTTTAAAGATATCTCTGTTGTCTATTTCCATTAATGAAAAGTGTTTTTACATAAAATGTAAAATATCTGAAAATGGAAAAAAAAAAAATTTAGATCAAATTAACCGAGGACAATCCTCTTAAAAAATGAAAAGAGGGGGGCGCCTGGGTGGCTCAGTCGTTAAGCGTCTGCCTTTGGCTCAGGTCACGATCCCAGGGTCCTGGGATCGAGCCCCGCATCGGGCTCCCTGCTCCGTGGGAAGCCTGCTTCTCCCTCTCCCACTCCCCCGGCTTGTGTTCCCTCTCTCGCTGTGTTTCTGTCAAATAAATAAATAAAATCTTTAAAAAAAAAAAAATGAAAAGAGGGACACCTGGATGGCTCAAGTCAGTTAAGCGTTTGCCTTCAGCTCAGGTCATGATCCCAGGGTCCTGGGATCGAGTCCCACCATCGGGCTCCTTTCTCAGCAGGGAGCCTGCTCTCCTTCTGCCTGGCGCTCCCCATGCTTGTGCATTCGCGCGCGCTCTCTCTCTCTCTGACAAATAAATAAACAAAATCTTAAAAAAAAAGAATGAAAAGAGCTAAGGTAGGATTATGTTAATTTTAATGGCATTCAAATGCTACATAATTACTTTTATGATGTGTTTTTAAGACCCTAAAAAAATTCATACTCTTAAGCAAGTCTCAGTTGGTTAGGTTACTTAGCAAATCTTTTATTCACAGATAATGTGAAGGTCAAGTCTAATTCCTCCCTATTTGAATTATACCTGATATTATAGCCTGAATGATTAATATTTTATTGTGTTCAAATATACATATGTGTGCTTATTTAAGGGCATACTAAAGCTCCTAAAGTAGGTTTATATAAAACTTTAAAGATTTTATTTATTTGACAGAGAGAAATAGAGAGTCAGAGAGTACAAGCAGGTGGAGGAGCAGAGGGAGAGAGAGGGAGAAGCAGGCTCCCAGCTGAGCAGGGAGTCCAATGTGGGGCTCAATCCCAGGACCCTGGAATCCTGGGATCCTGACCTGAGCTGAAGGCAGCACCTTAACCGACTGAGCCACCCAAGCGTCCCTATAAAACTTTATTTTAAAAGCCAAGAAATTTAAACCTCAAACATAAGACTTATTATTAACTCATGATAATCTTCCATAATGAGTCTGAATGGATGAGAATTTTATTTTTAATCCAAAGAACTGTTCTACAGTAGTTTGACAGAACTATGAGATGACTGTAACAGAACTAGTACAAATAACAAAACAAGGAATACTCATTTCGAACAAGTCTGATAATCAATTCTTTAAATAAGACATTCTGTTTAAGAAGGAAATTAACCTGAAGTTGCAAAGCTAAGGAATGTAATCTATGGTAAATAAGACTATTACAGGCACTTAAGAAAAAAAATGGCAAGCCCATTTATTTGTACAATTTAGCAGACCTTTACTGAACATTAAGCTATGAGCTATGCATTGAGGATTAGGTTTTTTACATGAGGGACGGTGGGACATGAGACTAGTCTACCTTTGAAAAGCCCTCAAAAAACTAGGAATAGAAGTTCCTCAACATGATATAGGGCATTTATTAAAAACCCACAAATGACATCATACTCAAAGGTGAAAGAATGAAACCTTTCCCCTTAAGATGAGAAATAAGACAATGATGCTTTCACCACTACTATTCAATATTGTGCTGGAAGTCCTACCAGAGGGGTTAAGAAAAAGAAACATAACATCATGCATCAGAATGAGAAAAGAAGTAAAACTATCTCTATTTGCAGATGACATAACCCTAGATGTAAAAATCTCAAAGAATGAAGAAAAAACCACCACCAGAGCTAATAAATCAGCAAAGTGCAGGGTACAAACTCAACCCACAAAAATCAGTTGTGTTTCTATACACCAGCAATGAACAATCTAAAAAGGATATTAAGAATACAATTCCATTTATAATAGAATCCAAAAGAATAAAATACCTACAAATAAATTTAACCCGGAAATGACTTGTACACTAAAAACTACAAAACAGTGCTAAGGAAGTTAATCAAAACTAATTAAATGAAAAGACTTCTATGTTCATGGATTAGTAGACTTAATGTTGTTAATAGGGCAATCCTCTCCAAAGTCATCCATATAGTCAATATAATCCTGATCAAAATACAAATGGTCCATTTTGCTAAAATGGGGAAAAAAATTACAAAACAATATCGAAAAAGAAAAAACAAAGTTACAGGACTCTCACTTATTTCAAAACTTACTACAAAGTTATGGTCATTAAAACAGTTACTACC